ATGAGAGTTTCCAGTGAACTGGGCCTCTGAGGCCCTGACGTAGTAAGAACCTAACTGGAAACCTTTTTCTGATTTCTAGAAGCTAGTTTCTGTGATTGTCATCTATTCACAGAACATTCCGTATCTATGCTGTCTGCATAGTATCATATCAGACTTCTGAACTCCTTCTCTTAGCTCTAATCTATTCCAGGCTTACTGGCACTGGTGGTCCTCCATCAAAGGCCCCATTCCCACCTGTCGACTGCCGTTGTATCTTTGACTTTTGCACTTCAATGTATGGACAAGGGAAGGTGTGAGGCACCTTGTCTCCCAAGTTTGAGATCTGGGCCAACTGTGGCTGTGGATCAAGTTGCTATTGTTAGAATGCTTGTTATGTTCTGACGGTCACTTGAGGAGGTGTTGAATACTTGTCCCTGCCTCCATACGTCCTTCCCTTGTCTTGCCTTCTCCTTGCCTCCATTCAGACTATGAAGTAGTTAGTAGTTGGTACATCAGTGTGCCACACGGATCTGGAATACTTTAAGATAAAAGACTTTATGTGCTGCTGGAGACTCAATGTTGTGTGAAACACAGAAAATAAGGTAGGGATGAGCTGCTTTAAATTATTATTCATGGGTGCATGAATTTGAAATTTGTGATAATATCATTCCACCATGGATGTACAGTCTACAACTTTTAGGGAATATAACTCCAATAGAAAGATTTTAAATCTTTCTGGGCATCTTTCTGGGCATTGGTTTGTGTTTGAAAATTAGCAGAACAGTTTACTTGACTTGATGCTTCAAAGTGGTGAGAAGTCATGTCTATTTACATATAGAGTTATTAGCAAACTTACTTACATAAGGTAATTCTTTTAAATGTATGATATGTTTTGTATGTATAATACAATTCTAAAAATGTATGATCCTATATTGGAAAAAAGCCAATAAGATTCCACACTTTTTCACGTTTTATTTATACATTTTTAAGACATTGCAGGTTTTCTAAAATTGGATTGACACATCATCCACACAACCTCCTTACTGTCAAATGGTTGACTTAGAGATAAGTGAAACTGACCAGATTGGGTGGCGAGCTTCATCTTTCTTAAACCAGGGTTTTCATTTTACGAAACATATAACACAAGAATCTTGGCACACAAGGTCTGAGGCAGTTCAAATACAGCAGAGCTTCTATCAATTGTGGTGAAGTTGAGCTCACTTTTTCATTTTAGATCTAATGGTTTAAACTTTTTGTCCCCATTCAGTGATGGTACTCGTGTCAATCAGTGTCTTACTGCACTGTATATGTAGACTATCAGCTCATTTCATTTTGATCTTAATTGAATAATTTAAAATTAAAATATGTTTGAGTTTTTAAAATAGCTTTTTTCAATAGCGGACCTAAATCTCTGAGGGTTTAGTAAGAGGTATGTTCTAGGGTGGGCAGTGAATCACTTGATTCCTCTCTCTTTCAGGGACTGCTTCCTTGAGATCCAGTAATTAAGAACCATTGTGTAGTGAAACAGCAAATACGTTTTTTTTCTGCTCAGTGAGCTATATCAGAAGAGAGTGATGACATGGGCTGTGTAAATAGAATATGCTCACCTCCAAATCTCACTGAATAATACCTTTGTTTTTTTTCTTGTAAACGAGTCACAGTTAACTTTGTATAATGAGAAATGTTACTAAATAGTGATATAGTTTACCAGAAAAAATGTAGCTAATTATGTATGGGAGAGTTAAAAAAAATTTGGAATAAATGTGACAAAATAATCCAGTGACGGTGAAACTTTTGAAGACACTTGTGACCAAAGGTATAGTTAATTGAAAGATGTTTCATGCACAATCACTACAAAACTCTTTTGAATCTTATTTAATGGAAGAAGACATAGACAGACATCGATCTATTCTAAATTAAACGTACTGATGAAATGCTGTGTAGATATAAGTTTAATGAAGACTTTTTAAGGTATTATGCCCATTGAAATAACATACAAAAGTCTAGTCTAGTATGTTTTGATTGGTAAGTCATTATTTTGCATGTCTAAATGATCTGGATTCTGTCCATTTTTTTGGAGCAAACGTTCTCCGACTCCTTCAGGTTGACTGAGTTCCACTGGTGATCAGCTTTATTTAAGTCATAATACACACTCTCAGTTTTATTGAAGTATAAGCTTTGATTATAGCCTTCTAACCATTTTTGTATGCTTGTTTCTTCTGCACTAGTGTTAGCCCGACTATGTAGTTGGAAACCTGAGATCAAACCAGAGTAGATCAAAAGTATAAAAAGGATATTTAAATCATGTCAATCAAAAGAGGTGGGAAAGTCAGTCCTATATTGTGTCTCAACCCCTTGCATCTGCCTATTCTATAAGACCACAAACTGGGACACAGCCATGCAATAAGTTACTGTATCCCCCTTTTGATGTACCCGTATTTTCCCAACCATAGATCACATTTCAGTGGAAGCCACTGATGTCTTCTGAACTAATCAGTCTCCGAAAGGTGACTGTAGCACAAATGTAAAAGTCATTGTCTAACAAAACAGAAAAGTGATAGATTTGGTCATGCAACTTCTTCAGTGTTGTGTCAGATGAACTTCATCACACACTGGTGTGACACTCTGTGTTGATATCAGTGTTCATCCTGGGATGAAGCTGCCTTTGGAGCTGTGGTGACCTCTGGACACTGTCTTCCAGGGTTGCAGAGACTTTTTCAAACCTCCTGGACTCACCACAGGAATTGATGAATGTGTCCAAAACGAACAGCGCCTTGTCCGATGAAAATACTTCCTGTGCGCTTTATGTGGCATCCCACCAACCAGTTCTTTATTAGACATTCAAACATCCGTCCTGCCAGGTTGATTTTGACCACAATGTCTGTCGTGCCTACTGATAGCCTTTGCTAACTGAAAATTAAACAATAGTGGCCTATAGTCAGGAAAAGATGGCAATTCTAACTTATCTAATGAAAATCACATGATTGTACAGTGGATATGTAAGCAAATGTGTCTTGCATTATGTAGCCTATACGTATGCCATGATCTTTGCACCTATATGTCAGCAGTATGTGTAAGCTGTTCTTCATTGCATTACCAGCAGCAAGCATTCTACGTTGCACATGCTTGTGGAAATACTAAAGTAGGAAACCACCCCACATTTGTATGAAAAATAGCAAACGTATCCCTGTGTCCTCATAAAGAGTTTATCTTTAAAGGAATAGTAATACCGGTATTCTATGTACACATATATCTACCATGTATATGATATATGATATATATACAGTATATATATATACTGTATATATTAACATCGGACAGCATTCCTATGCACTGTTCAGCATCGGGTTTTCCAGCATCTCTATAAAGGCATCTCTCAATAGGCATCTCTTAGAAGGCATCTCTTAGAAGGCATCTCTTAGAGGGCATCTCTTAGACGGCATTTCTTTGAAGGAATTAAACTTTAAACTAGAAAGGACACTTGTGTACTTTCCCTCACGTGAGACTATGTGTTTATACTTTACATGTGACCATGTCAATAATTTCAGAACAGTTTATACAATTTATCCTTAAACAACATTATATTTTAGCCATCACAAAAAGATCTTATTCAGACAATTTGTTTTGGTGTGCCAAATGAGCAGAATTTTCTCATAGAAAAGGTATTTTGCTTACCTTTTGATCGTAGGCCTTCAATTGTCTGAAGGGTCTCCTCTGATGGACTCCAGTGGTCTTCAATTGCAGTTTGCCAATCCGGGTCACGGCATCATTGGTTAGCCAGATTCTTTAGATGGAAACCTGAGGACAAACCAGAGTAGATCAAAAGTATAAAAATTACATTTATTGGGTCACAGGCAAAGTATATCAGCGCTGGGCTCTTCAGTGTCAAAAACCTCACTCTGGGTCTCAGTGGGCAAAGAGCCCTGAGATCTGGTTGTGATGGGCATTATCTCTTTGGCTCGATCCGGGTCCTCAAAGGAGGACTGGACATAACCAAGTCTTATTAGCTAGTTACCTCAGGGCATAAACAGGCCAGGTGTTAACTCATGCAGATGACATAGGAAGGTGGTAACAAAGTGTGTGAGTGTGTGTGTGTTGACCTAACGACGTGTGTCTAAAGCAACAGAGAGAGAAAGAGAGACAAAAAAGGAGAATCTGTGGTTACAGCCAGAGAATTTAACACAAAAATATATATATATATGAAA